CTGAATTTCCGTTTTCAGGTACATTTTTATGTTCCAAACACCAATGGTACCAGAACTGACCGTGCAAAAACGAGATTTCCATATGTTTGATGTGATGTTCCGTGGCAGAAAGGCTGGTATCCGAAATGCTGAAAATTTCACCGACGAAGATCTCGAGGCTTGGAAGCATGTGTTCAGCCAGAAAGGTGCGACACATTTCTATTCGCTACTTCACTTATCCTTTTTGATTGGTCGATTCTATGATTTTTGCTTCTCATTAAATATCCTCCACTCAGCCGGATATTCGACAATGTGAATATATTAGGGTGAAATGCACTTTTGCCCAATCGGCCTCTGTCATAAAATATCGTGGGAAGGGGAGGGATATAGCATCTAATTCTTCTCCCATAAATCTGGGTTGCGGGAATCACAGCATACCGATAGTAAGGCAACTATCTGGCGAACCTCGATATAAGCACCTCTCGGGTAATACGACCATTGCCATAGTCCTTACTGGCTGCCCCACCAACGTCAGGGCGCTAAAGAATTTGCTATTCTACTGACTTCGTGAGAGTCACAAGTAAGGTCTTAAGGATCTTGGAAGGTTTTCGTTCAAAAATAGTACCTGCAACCTTTTCCGAGGGATCACTACTGATTAAAGGTCTACGTATAAGCGAAACATTCCTTAATCGAATGTTTAGGTGCACTGACAGGCCCAATAAACTATTACCGAAATCTAACCCAATCTCGACCACTTCGTGGAGAAGAACGTATATGTAAGGTAGGTTGGTTTTCCGAATGCTCAGTTCTCATTCAGAAATTCCGGTTTTTTCACTTCCTTTTTTCGGAAGCATTATGGAATTATGTTTCCCTCTGTCCATTTATGGGATGTTTTTAGCCTCCCACACTCATAATTTGGGGTGATGAAGACCAATTCCTCGTCAAAGAGGGAGCAGTCGCAAGTCTCAAGGTTCGTTCTGCTTCTGTAGTACTTCATGACCCGTTGACATGGATTCAGCATTCCAAACGAATTCTCATTAAGTATTGCCAACATGGTCAAGTGAAGTTCATCGAAGGTGCTTCACATTGGGTCATGCAGGACGAGCCGTCGCAGGTTAACCAGCTAGTGGACGAGTTTCTCACCACGCCCATTCATGAGCTGGTCGAACCTTCTTCTTCTTCAAAACTGTAGTGTTTTAGTACGTATGTATCCGATTCGCTTTGCTTTGCTGTTGAATTTTTCCAGGGAATAAATTTTTGATTATACTTATTACAAAATGAGCTAGACAACCACAGGTAACGGTTACGCAGCCGACCACTAAGTGTGATGGTAAGGCGTCCAACGGTAAAGCAACGGAACATCAAGCTTTGAAAATTCCGCTGAACTGCTAGAAGGTGGTTTTTCATGTATCTTACGAAAGTGGCCTTGGTTATTGTTTCCGTCCCTTTCTTCAGCTGTTCCGATGAGGTGCTGGTATACAAAGTCCGCAAGCGGTGTCTTCGACCTTTGCCATTTGCAGCCGCCTTTTTCCTATAGAATCGGCATCGAGAAGCTGCTTGACGGATAGGGCAGGGCCATCAACATCAATGACAACTACATGCTCAAGTGAGCTTGATGATTTTGCAAGTAATGATACCTTAGGATAAAAGAAAGAGGGCATTTGGTGTAGTGGGTCAAGTAGATTACGGCAATTCCAGTTTGGTACAGACTCCTCTTCGGCCAGAAAAGGATTATAGATCTTCTGAGAAGTGATTTCTTCGCAGGCCCACGATTGTATCTCCTCATCGTCCAGATGAGTTTGGTATAATTTCAATTACCTTGGATGCACTAAAAATTTCCTCAACTTCCTCTCCCGTCTTTTCCTTGCCTCTCCACCTTCCCCCGTTTCTTGCTGGGAACTTGTCTAACTTCTAGTATGAATAAAACTTATGGCATAGTCACCTGGAATGAAATAAGAATTGCTGGGATACATCTCTAACTTGTGTCATCGAGTAGGGCTGTCTTTGAGCCCATAAGTCATTATGGGCCGAACTGCATAGGGTTCTGTGTTCGAGATGTCATGTTTATCTGAACTGGTCCAGATCATGTGATCAGACACTGGCTGACAACGGTCGTCATTATCGGACTGTGGGTGTGGCCCTAAGACATTCTCATTGGTGCTCCACCTGTGAAAGGTGGAACTCACAATTAGGGATACGGTACCAGTGGGGATACGGTACGACTTCGTGACATCCGCAGTGTTCTGGCTTACACCAGTTGTGAACCGTGGTTCGATAGGACTTACAATTAGCTGGCTCCACCTCTGACAACGATGATTGATGGTTCATACGGTGCCACGCCCTCTAATTTGAAAGCTTCTAGCAGACACTGTAAAACCATAAATTCGCTCNGAGCGAAAAGCATAATTTTTAGGATGAAAATATTCATTCAACATGACTAATGTTGAGGCTATTGCGCTTTTACTGCATCTTCCACTTGTTGTGCTCGGACCATCGGTGCTATCGTTTGCATGTAGAACATCTTAATAGGATACAGTAAGCAATATAAGGTGAGATACGGTAGATTATAGTAAGCCATAAAGTGAATCTATGACTGACATCCCATAATTGACTCCATGACCATAAACCGGCTTCTTTGGCTACTTTGATTAAATGGAACGAAGTAGTGATAAGGTCCTGAAGCAGTAGATCTAGATTCGGGGCGAATGTGTTCCCGGGTTATAGTATAGTCAAGAAAAAGTCAATTAAAACTCAAATGAGGGATCTGAGAAGTTGAAACTTCAAGAAGTCTTACCCAAGCAACATCCGGCTTCGTAACAATGAATTTAATCACCATAAATAAGGTGTAAAAGAAGTTGGCGATTTTCTAAACATAATTGCTTTTAAGTCTATAGTGGAGTTCATTTGGGAACAAAATGGGTAAAAGGATGTAAGAAGTAGGCAGTACTCATGGAATGTATGGTGGCAGTGTTTCAATGTACATCTATATTGTTTGTAACTGGAAGAGTGCATGGCTTAGTCCGGTCCGATCATTTAGAATGTTCTTCTGTCTTTTGGACACTTTAGGCTTTTGCTAATGTTCGGCCCTCGACGTGGTCCTATACTTCTATAGAAACTCGTCTCTGGAGCTGGACAACTCGTCCACTGAGGTTCGCATCCAACGCTGTCAGGAGCGACTTGTGTCCGATCGAGTAATGTATGTATTGACTTCGGCACCCTATTCTTTTCCCTTGGAAGTGCCTCTCCTCTAGGGTTCCGTACACGTACTTCCCCAATCAATATCCATCTTTTTAGTGAACACTATGGCTAAACCCATCCCATGGCCTGTCCTCGGCCTTGTTTTTGGCCTCGAATCACGGAGAAAAGGGGGAGTTGATGGTAAAACTGCGGACAACTTACTGTCCAAATGTTTTGAATAGCAGTTAGTATCACTGTCACTATGCTTTCTTGTGGTTTTCCCGGCTTTTCACCTGTAATTCCAGTCTTGATTACAGGAATTCAATACTAATAGCTGAACTAATCATTTCGTTTCCACGTTTTTTACAAAGGGTCCAACGTACTCTTTGACTTAGTAGTTGATTCGGGTGTCTTTTCCTTTTTCGGATCTGGCGCTGACTCCTTTTTTGGATCTGGGGCTGACATTCTGGAACAGTAAGCTTATTGGAGGAGATCCAGAGACCAACCTTGTACCCGACCTCACTTTCGAGTAGCTGTAGCTGAAAATACTGCAAAACCTACCAGATTGTAAGCAGATAGACCGACTTTCTGATAATGATTAAAGACTACTTACTGGTTTCCAATGATGATGAATTTTATCATTCTTTCCTAGCATGTGCTCTCAGCTACATTCAGAATACATGGTTCTGACGTTTGAATGGGCTCGCGACCTACAAGTACGACGGTTGAAGCCGATATACATTTCGTTACTTTCATTGTCCCAAACAAGTCGGGTATCGCTGTACGTGTCCCGAAGAAATGGAAGGCTTGGCTGACCTGAGCAGGCACCGACCAACCCGGGATTCAATCCTCGGACCTTTCGTGTAGTAGTGCGTGCCACATACTACTACGTCCACTTCTTATTTGCTTAAATACTTTCGAAAAATAGTTTCACCTAAAAGCCTCAAGGGACAATCAAAACACCATCA